TAATATTAGAGTCCTATTTATTAGCAACCTAATACCTACCTTAGCTAATCCGATAGCTAATCTTCTCGGTAGAGATAACGATAAACCTGTATCCCCTAATAGCATAGACCCTAATTAGCTCTCTCGTATACTAGTGCCTATTCGAGAAACCTATATTAATGTATTTAAACACTACTTGTTATCGACATTGCCTATGTTTAAAGAGACGGACTATAAGATTAACATTATAGAGGGCAAAGAGGTTCCTTTTAGCCCCCTCTATAACCTTAGTAAGCGAGAGCTTGCTATATTGCGTAAGTACCTAGAGGAAAACCTAGCTAATAGCCGCATTCGGTATAGTAACAGCCCTACTAGTGCACTAATCCTGTTTGTTCTAAAGAAGGATAGTAGCCTACGGTTATACGTTAATTACCGTAGACTTAATGCTGTTACTATTAAAGACCGCTATCTACTCCCTCTTATTAATAAGACCCTCGATCGCCTTTCTAGGGCCTACTTCTATACTATACTAGATATTAAGGATACGTACTATCGTATCCGCATTCGCAAGGGCGACGAATAGAAAACGGCCTTTCGTACTCGCTATAGCTATTTCGAGTACTTAGTTATACTATTCGGCTTAGCTAATGCCCCTACAACATTCTAGTCCTATATTAATTAGGCCCTTTCGGGCCTGTTAGACTATCTCTATATAGTTTACCTAGATAACATCCTAGTTTATATACATTTGCCTAACATTGCAGAATACTAGGCCGTAGTGCGTAAGGTCCTCGACCGCCTACGAGCCTATAGACTATATTGCAAACCTTCTAAATGCACCTTTGCTGCTAAAGAGGTATTATTCCTTAGCTTCCTTGTATTAACCGAGGGTGTTAAGGCTAATCCTAATCGGATTAAAACAATTACTAAATGGCCTATTCCTACGTCTATTAAGGAGCTCTAATCGTTCCTTAGCTTCGCCAATTTCTACCGCCGCTTTATTAAGGGCTATTTACGGCATGTAATGCCCCTAACTAAGCTTACTAAAACTAAGGCCAACCCGTCTAGAGAATTCAAATAGACTAACAAGACACAAGCCGCTTTTAACGGTCTAAAGAAGCGATTTACTAAAGTCCCCTTACTATACTATTTTGTACTAAGCAAGCAGATCCGTATTAAGACTAACGCTTTACAGTTCGCTATATCGGCTATTATATTATAGCAATTAGATAAGGACTATTACTAGCACCTAATTGCCTTCTTTTTACGAAAGATAATCGATATAGAGCGTCGCTACGAGACCTACGAGTAAGAGCTCCTAGCTATTATCGAGGCCTTTAAGTATTAGAGGCACTATCTCGATAGTATATAGCATACTATTTAGGTCTATATAGACTATAACAACCTCCGTAGCATTACTAAGGTTACTAGGGTTATAGGTCGATAGGCTAGATAGGCCGTCTACCTCGCTAGGTTCGATTTTAATATATTATATCGGCTAGGCGTAAGCAACCCTGCTAATAGCCTATCGAAGCGACCTAATTACGATAGCGAGACCTAATATATTAATTCTTTGTTTCTAACCCTATAGTATAAGATTGCTATAGCCTATATTATTAATAAGCAAGCGTAGGATAAGCGGACTTCCGGACCCCGCGGCGGCAACAAATACTATAGCGGAGTTGTCGTTCTTCTAGTATACGTTAGAAAGGACGTAGATCGCTCGAGCTATAATAACTCGATTAAGGACATTGCTATCTATAGTAATAGTCTATATAGCGATAGCGCTATAGAAGAGATTGTAGTAGTTCCGGCTGCTAGTACTGTTAGATATATATAATACGTACCTCGTTTAATAGCGAGGGTACTATTAAATAACCTTGCAAATAGGGATAGTTAATCGTTTATAGATGAGCTGTTACGGGCTTAGTAGAGGGACGCCTTTGCTATTAACCGTATTAGTAGGCTTGTAAGTAGGCGAACGACTCGATCTAGTAAGAGTAATTAGTCGATCGACGATAAAGGCTATTTAAAGTTTAAGGGCAGATACTATATCCCCGCTAAATAATCGATTAGATAAGAGCTTTTAAAGAGGCACTATAATAGTAAGCTCGCTAGTTACTATAGTATAGAGAGGTCGCACGAGCTACTATCGCGTATATACTACTAGCTAAATAGTAAACGGTATATAAAGGAGTATATACAGACCTATATAGTATACTAGCGAGTTAAAGCACCGAAGCACTTGCCGTTCGGCGAGTTGTCTTCGCTCCCGATTCTAAAGAAGCTATTTGCTAAGCTAATAATAGACTTTATTATAGGCCTTCCTCCTACTAAGCGTAGGGGTAGCAAGGATGTATATAATGCTATCCTTATTGTAGTAGATCGATTTACTAAAGGCGCTCGATATATCCCGGTACGCAAGGATTAGACTGCTATTAATATAGTAGAGGCGCTATAGACTAATATCTTCTATATCTATTAGGGAACCCCTAAGGGGATCGTGTCCGATCGTAGATCGATACTAATATCTTACTATTAGAGCGAGATTTGCTTGTAGCTAAGACTAAAGCATCGGCTATTAACAGCCTTCTATTTATAGACTAACGGTCAAATAGAGAGGCAGAATGCTACCCTATAGCAGTACCTACGTAGTTACATTAACGAGAACCCTAACGACTAGGTTAACCTCCTACAACTAGCTAAATTCGTATACAATAACAGTGTCTACTTATCGACTAAGGTGTTACTATATATAGCTATAATAGGCTAGAACGCTACTATACTACAAGACCTACTATCGCTCGAGGCCGAGCGTAAGGAAAGGGAAGCGCGTTAAGTACTAGAGATACTAGCGGCGATAGAACGTGTCTAGAAGATACGAGAAATCTATACTAAGATAGCTAAGAAGCTAATAAGGGCTTAAGAGTACTAAAAGACCTACTACGATAAGCGCTATACACTAATAACCTTTAAACAAGGCGATATAGTTATGCTAAGCACTAAGAACCTCCGCATCTGCAAGTACCTATTACCTAATAGCAAAACAAGGCCTAAGCTCGCACTAAGATATATTAGCCTATTCCGCATTCGAGAAGTTAAGGGCTCCTCCGCATAGGCCTATTAGTTATAGCTTCTACCTTATTACACTATCTATAACACCTTCTACGTATCCCTCCTTAAACTATACTACTAGCGTAAAGGCGATAAAGCGCCTACTAAGTTAGAAGAAGTCTTAGCTAATAGTAAAGAGCTATAGTCTATAGAACGCATCCTAAAGTACCGGACTAGGTAAGGCAAGAAGGAGTACCTACTAAGATAGTAGGGCTATTTACTAGAATAGGACTTATAGGAAGCTAAAGACTCCTTTAAGGATATAACCGAGTTGTTAGATAAGTATTAGACTAGCGTAAAGAATAAGAAGAAGGCTAAGGGCCTATAATATTACTAGAAAGGCCTAGGAACAATACTATCCCTAGGGTGCTATTAAGCTAACTAATTAGAGGCAAGCAATTGTTAGTAAAGGACAACAAGACTATACTACGATAACGAACGCGTAACGAGTACTAACGAGCGCACTATAACTATTAACTAATCGCCTACTCTTTTAAGGAATCTACCTCTTTACTAGCGTACCCTATAAGGTCCTCCTCTTAGCGCCCCTCTTATTCCTACGTTCTATCGGAGCCCTAAGGCCTAGGTAGTTAATAGAGGCGGCGCGCGCGTAGGCGAATAGTATTAGTAATAATAATAGTAACGACGGCGTTACGCTTATACTAAAGGGCGATACGGCTAGCGCGGCTATATTAGTAATAGTATTATAGAGTATATTATTAGTCGAAGAAGGAAATCGAAAGCAAGGTAAAGTTAGCGCTAAGACGACTAGCGCTACTATTATTAATATTACTTGCTATTGTTACTACGCCTATAGACATAACCTTACCTATACTACGAGCCTAAGGCACCTTTAATTAAAACTTTAATTAAAACTTTAAGCCGCCTAAAAGATTAAGCGACTAATAGACTAACTAAAAGTAAAAACTATAGAGCTAAGCTAGCCGGGGTCGATCTTGCGGATAATAGGTTACTCCTCGATCTATCTAACCCTTTAAGCGAGGCGAACCTCTACTACTATAGTACTTATAATAGCCTTTACCTATAGAAACTAGACGAGCTGTGTTTTTTAAAAGATAAGATAAGATTAACAATTAAAGGCTACTAAACCTAACTAATTAGGGCTAGCGAAACTACGAATAATAATAGCCCTCGTAATAATAAGAACAACCCTCGGAAGCGGACATTTCTAGGTCTTTTAAGAGTAGACGCAAAGAACTCGGTACGACATTACTTAGAACGGAGGCAGGGCTGTAATACCTCGTACGTCTACCTATTATAGTAGGGAAGACGCGCTTGTATTATAATTAGTCGAAGGCCCTTAATTCTTGTAGATATATATTACTTTATAGTTTATTATATAGGGGATAGCGTAGTTAGAAGTTAGACATTGTGTTAGAAGGTAAGGTTTAATATAGTTACGTAATTAGGTAGTTAAGTATTTAATTTAACGTAGGCTAAGTAGCTTATTAGACTTACTAAGTTAGCGGTAATAGAGGTCGTAGAACATAGACAGGCTACGAGGGCGCGGCCTTTAGAAGGGAAGCGTATATTAGGGCTAAAGAGGCTATACGTAATTAGTATATAACTAGGCTAAGTAAAGCTAGGGTCTTAGTACCTTAGGTAGGGCTTAGCGCTTAGTAATAGGCTAACTTGCCTACCTTCCTCCCTCTCCTCCTAGCTCCTTATCGAATACTACTTGTGCCTACTACTACCCTATCTACCTACTAATATAACCCTTCTTATATAGATTTATAATTATACTCTTAGATAGCTAGTAAATATTATTATATAAGAGCTAGCAACCAAACTCTAGTTACGCATTTCTACTAAGTAGGGACTTACCTATATTATATACTACGAGGGAAAGTACAATATATCGGCTAGTTAGGTAAGCCGACCTTGCGTCACGCTCCTTCGCCATGGCATGTCCGGAGCCAATCATAATGGCGATCCAAGAACGACGCTTTCTTCAGATCGGAGCTACTTTCTAGGCTACATCATTTCGAGGTCGACCACCGCAACTCTGGCCTATCGCTGCAGGTACCATCACCACGAGGCGATATCAGCATGCAGGCACAACTCCTTTTGCCTCCGCGTGGCACCGCACCTCGCCGAGAGCATGTGCCCTCAAATCATACTTGGGTAGGCTGGTATATGTCGAGCTACTCTTCTCCATGAACTGCTATTGTATCCCGCCAACAATATGAGATCCGTAGTACTGACAGCAGCTTCGGCTTTCACTGCGCATGCTGCACTCTATCCCAAGACCGGCACAAGCAACCATACCTGCGTGCTCGACCCGGCATACTTATCATGTTCAGCCAAAGCGAATCCAGCGGATGTTGATACATGCTGTGTTGAGACCTATGGCGGTCTTCTGCTAGCTACCCAGTTCTGGGATGTTTGGGCAGACAAGCCACTGCCGGAAAACACCTGGACTTTGCATGGTCTTTGGCCTGACTTCTGGTGAGCAGCGATCACAGGCCTCTCTGTCACAATCGTGCTAATCTTTCGTCAGTAATGGCTCGTACACGCAATACTGCGATCTCAGTCGCCAATACGATCCCGTCCCATCACCGAACACGACGAATGGCCTGCCGAATGGTACAGTGGTCCCACCGTACAACGGCAGCAACATCGGCACGTTCCTCGAGCCGTTCGGGAAATACGATCTCCTCGCGTGGATGAACAAGTACTGGATCTCTCAGACCGGACCGAACGCTGACTTCTGGGGACATGAATTCAGCAAGCACGCCACTTGCTTCTCGACATTCGATGTGCCATGCTACGGACCAAAGTACCAGCAGCATGAAGAGGTGGTAGATTTCTTTGAGACTGCGATTGGATACTACCAAAAGTTCTCAACTTGGGAGTGGCTTGCGAAGCATGGCATCACGCCGAGCAACAGCACTGGATATAGCAGAGTCCAGCTTGAGAATGCTCTTGCTGCTGAGCATGGCGCTGTACCATACGTGGGCTGCTCTGGGCCGCGATACAATGACACTGCTGCAGGAAAAGCTGCGAAGAGCACGGATACGGGCAGGACTGTCTTGAGTGAGGTTTGGTATTATATGCACGTCTTTGGACGCCCGCAAGACCACCGCTACGTGCCAGTCGACCAGACATCGAGGTCAGGTTGCACTAATGTCACGGGTGCGGTCCACTACTATGAGCAGACTGCGACTCTGCGCGATAAAATTCGCACTATTAAGGCAGACGTGAAAAACTGTCTCGCATGAAAATGTACATATGATGATAGATAAGAATTTATACGACAGATACTGGATCCAGGCCGCCTCCCAAAGGCTAAGACGCGTCCTCTTATGAGATTCCTTCAACATGCGAGCCGTCAAGCTTTCTTGGCACGGGCGTCAGGCTGTCACGCTAAGGACTTCAACCATGAAGCAAGTGCTCCACAATTGGCCTCTCTGGATTAGAATCTCTGCTTTCTACGTTATATAGAGCTGATAGTTGTGCTTACGAATATCCGAGCCGTAGTTCTTATAGTAGACATCTATTAATACTACTCGCTATTAAGCATAAGTATAGTTTTACGATTCGTATAACCTATATCGCTAATTTATAGAGTCGTTCTCCTTTTTAGCGCTTACGACTCTAATAACTAACCTCTTACTACTTCTTAATACTATACCCGACTATTACTATAGATATCTTAGAAAAGTATAACAAGTACTATAATCTAGAGCCTAAGATACTAACTAAGTATAGGTACTATAGGCTAGAGCCCGAATTACTACCCAAGTATAAAGAAGAGCCCGAGGAGCAATATATCAGCTATATTAGAGTTAAATATAACGGCTTAAATCGCTATAGCGTCTATTTTATTATTAATAACCGCTACTACTTATAAATCTAACTCTTTCCTCTAGTTATACTTCTAAATAGATAGTTAAGAACTCTTAGATACCTCAATTTAGTATTTCTAAGATAACTAGCTACTTCTAACTAGCTAATATTAGACTTCTAAAAAAAGAACTAAAGGGCGCTAAACGTATTAATAAGTCGCGCTATATCGATAAGTCGTACTATAGTATATAAAATAAAGAGAAAAATAAAGGAGAAAGAGAGAAAAATAAATAGAAAACTAAATAGAAATATAAAGAGATTAGTATTTCTAGCGCTTCTCTTGCCTACGGTATACTATATCGCCTATTAGTAGCGTAAGAGAAGCCGGCGTTCCTAGATAAAGAAAAGTAGTAGGTTTAGTATATTTAGTATAGGATAGCTCCGGATAGTAAGACGCTATTTAGGATTTACTATTAATATATACCTACGAAGTTTCGTAGTCTAAGGAGGTTTGTTAGGGATTAGCGCGAGACACTAGCGGAATTTCGTTAAGGTTCTTAAGTATAAGAGGGGTTATGTTAGCAGGTAGATAGGGTAGTAGTAAATTAGTATAGTATTCGATAAGGATCTAGGAGGAGAGAGAGGAAGGCAGGCTAGTTAGCCTAACGCTAAGCGCTAAGTCCTGCCTAAGGCACTAAGACCCTAGCTTTACTCGGCCTAATTATATACTAATTACGTATAGCCTCTTTAGCCCTAATATACGCTTCCCTTCTAAAGGCCGCGCCCTTATAGCCTTCTATATTCCAATCTCGACCTCTATTGCTACTAACTTAGCAAATCTAATAAGCTACTTAGTCCGCGCTAAATTAAACACTTAACTACCTAATTATGTAACTATGTTAAACCTTACCTTCTAACGCAATGTCTAACTCTAACTACGCTATCCCTATATATAATAAACTATAAAGTAATATATATCTATAAGAATTAAGGACTATCGACTAATTATAATACGAGCGCGCCTTCCCTACTATAATAGGTAGGCGTACGAGGTATTGTAGCACTGCCTCCGTTCTAAGTAATATCGTACCGAGTTCTTTGCGTTTACTCTTAAAAGACCTAGCTATGTCCGCTTCCGAGAGTTGTCCGCTTCCGAGGGTTTGTTCTTATTATTACGAGGACTATTATTGTTCGTAGTTTCGCTAGCCCTAATTAGTTAGGTTTAGTAGCCTTTAATTATTAATCTTATCTTATCTTTTTAAAAAACACAGTTCGTCTAGTTTCTATAGGTAAAGGCTACTATAAGTGCAACAGTTAAGGTTCGCCTCGCCTAAAAGGTCGGAAAGATCGAGAAGTAACCTATTATCCGCAAGATCGACCCTAGCTAGCTTAGCTCTATAGTTTTGCCTTTAGTTAGTCTATCTTAATCTTTTAAGCGGCTTAAAGTTTTAATTAAACCCTTAGCAGGTTCAATCTTTTTAACTTAGTTAGTATAGTGCTTTAGGCTCGTAGTATAGGTAAGGTTAGCAATAGTAGCGAGCAGGTAATATTAATAATAGCGGCGCTAGTCGTCTTAGCGCTAACTTTACCTTGCTTCCGATTTCCTTCTTCGACTAATAATACACTCCGCAACACTGTTACTAATATAGCCGCGCCGGCCGCCGGCATACTGCTAGCTCGTAGCGCGATACTATTATCTTTATTACCGTTATTCGTACGCGCGTATCGCTAATTGCCTAGGCTTCGAGGCCCTATAAATAAATAAACAAGAGGTAGAGTTCTTAAAAGAGTAGGCGATTAGTTAATAGTTATAGCGCGCTCGTTAACACTCGGTGCGCATTTACTGTAGTAGTATAGTCTTATTGTCCTAGTTTGCCGGCCTCTAATTAGTTAGCTAATAGCACCCCGGGGGTAGTATTAATCCGAGGCCTTCCTAGTAACATTATAGGCCCTTAGCCTTCTTCTTGTTCTTTATACTGGTCTGATATTCGTCTAATAACTCAGCTATATCCTTAAAGGAGTCTTTAGCCTCCTACGAGTCCTATTTAGGTAAATAGCCTTGCTATCTTAATAGGTACTCCTTCTTGCCCTATCTAGTTCGGTACTTTAGGATACGTTCTATAGACTATAGCTCTTTACTATCGGCTAAAATGTGCTTGCGGGCGGCTGCGCGTGCCTACTAAGTGCGAGCGAAGCTTTCGCACTCCGTAGAGCTAATAGAATGCCGTCGTCGTTATCGTATTAATTACTTTTGCTAGCGTAGTTTGCTAGAAATGTACTTAATCGACTAGAATACAGTTAGGCTCGAGCAAGTTAGGCTACCTTAAGCCTTACGATAATAAGCAAGCTGTTAGTACCTACTAGGCAACTTATACTAAACGGGCTTGTTATAAAGTATAGGACTAACTGCATACTCGCTATAAGCGATCGCAATTATAAGCGGCAAGCCGCTTATAATCGCGATCTATGCTTATAGCTTTATAGTAGCTAATTAGAGTGAAAGTCTATATTTAATCTTCTAAGCAGTTTAAACTATAATATTTCTATAGTTTTATAAACAAGCGATCAATTAATTAACTAGCTATTAATCTTATTCTAACTATGTTATCCCGTTTATCTCATTCTGTCTATCTCATCCTATCCCGTCTATGCTATTGCTTAATGCGATAATTACCTATTATCTACTACTAAAGTCTTCCTCTTCCTCGTTACTATTATAGAAGTCCTATAAGCCTATTAATGTATCTAGATTGTTTAAGGGTTGTGCGGCTAGTACACGGCCGTACTAGCGTCGGAATGCCTCTAGAGCGGCCTTACGCGCTATTTCCTCTTCTACTTCTCGTATATTACGTATACGATCGAGAGATTCTTAGCGGTCCTCTTTAATCTAAGTATACCTATCCTAAAAGCCTTATTAGAAGGCAGCCGAGAAGTCGTTAGGCTATAGGAGCTGCTTTGTCTAGATCTAACGTAGTTGAAGCTAGACCTTATTATCGATACTATCGTAGATAATGCGGAGATATCGACGGCGGAGATCTATATAATACTTATCTAGGTTCTACGTCTTCCGGAACAGTGTCTTGCCTTCGAGAGAAAAGATAAGATATTAGATAGCAAGCGGGCTATAGCTATAAGCATTAGGCTGCTATATTACATCGTTGTCTGCAGTTTCGATATATGTCTAAGTGCCTAGTCGTAGCTAACTAGCATACTGTGTATATAGAAAGTAAGATAGCAGATCGGCAAGCGCAAGGATGAATTAACCTCTAAGAGGTCCGATAGTGCGCTTACTATTAATACCGCCTTCTGTATTCTATATACGTATCGTACCTATACTTAGATTGACCTCTATAGCAATTAAGTAAGAGGCTAAGTAGGATATAGCAGAGATACGGCTAGTTGCTATAAAGCCCAATTGCCTAAGATATAAGAGCAGTATATTAGTGTTATACTAATGCTACTGCCGAGTGTTCTCGACCTAATTAGCATCCTACTACTCCTTAGAGATAACCTTGTTATCGGATGCAACTAGAAAGCTAAAATGCTCGATAATACGAGTCGCTATTCGGAGCATTGCGATTGCCTGCTTCGTGCTATAGTTTATCTCGGCGTACTATACCGTCTCTTTATCGTTATCTATTAGCGATATAAATTAGTAACCTTAAATAGGGTAGGCGCTTAAGCGTATAATTCTGTCGATGTCTTGTATAAAGTACTAGGCATTATTATAGTCCTTGTCGCCTAGTTTTAGATATAGAGCTATACGTATACAGGACTTAAATGTAACAGGAAGCACTGCCGGCTGCTTAAACGGGAACTTTATATCCGGATCGACGCTTAAAGGATATATACCGTAGACCCGCTCTTTACTAAATTCTATAGCAAGATCTGTAAGGTCGTATAACGGATAATTAATAGGATATTACTATATAATTTCGAGGCACTGCTTACGACTAATAGTAGCATCTCGCTCGGAGCGGTAAAGTGCCTCTACTTTAAAGACCTGCTAGAAGACATATTCTGCTTCTTAGTCCTTACTAAAGATACTAGAGCGATAGAGCTAAGAATAGAACGACTTAGTAAGAGCGAGAACCTCGTTAGAACGATTATCTAAGTCCTTCTTAGGAAGCGCTAGTTTAACGTGCGCGCGACGATAAGCATAAGTTGCTAGCTTAAGGTCGTTAAGGCCTGTTCGCGCGGGAGCTGCTAATAGAGCTGCTTTCGGAGCTACTATTAGAGCTGCTATTAGAGCTGCTATTAGAACTAGCAGTCGAGCGGCTGTTAGACCTACTAATAGAGCTAGCGGCGGGTTAGGGACAGAAGGCAAGGGAGGATTAGCAGCTTAGAGCTGTTACTATAGTTATCGCTCTTAGTCCTATAGTTAGCGAATAAACAGTTAATTATTAATTACAGCCTATCGCTCGCGCTGTATATAGGAATGATCCCAAGCTCTAGGTAGTACTAGACTAACTTCGGAAGCGAGAAATACCTAACTAGAGCCTA